CCTCGCCGCGAATCACTCCAGCCGAATCCGACGTACGCCGCCATCGCTCAAAGCGAACCGTCCGGCCAAGACACTTGGTTCTTGGATAGTTGCTGCGGACAACACATGTGCTCCTCCGGGCGCTTCGTACAACGCGAACATCGACTCCAGCGAGAAGTAGTCATCACGGTCGCCAACAACCAGAACCTGCGCACAAGACGACAAGGAGTCGTTCAGCTTCAATCAAGAGAGACCAACGTTATACTACACATGTCAAAAGTACTCATCGCAGAAGGACTCGGTTACAACTTACTAAGTGTTAGCCAGCTGATGGCGAAGGGGATTCACTTGGAAGCCGACAGCACCACCCAGGAATTTAAGTTATACCACGGGAGGGGCGGCCTCTACATCGGGAAAGCAGTGTTGAAGAATAACGTCTTCGTTCTTGACTTCGTCCCCGACCTGGGCACTGCAGACAGCGACGCCATCGTCAACTTTACCGATTGGACACACCCTCCGGACCTCGATCCTGATTTCTGTCCAGGAGGCTTCTGGTACTCACACACCATCCCTGAAGCAGAGCGAACACAAGCATTAGCAACAATTCAACAATCGACAGCAGCAGAGACAACATCGGCAGCAGTAGAGACAACATCGGCAGCAGCAGAGACAACATCGGCAGCAGCAACAACATCGGCAGCAGCAGGAACAACGACACCAGTCATCGTCGACGAAACACCACCAACACCCGCACAACAGCTGAACCCGACTCAACGAGAAGTCCACCGCAGCGCCAACTTCGTCGCCAGCTTCTACTCCAACTCCGACGCATATCAACGTTCACCCGGACACCGCGCCTCCGAAGACATCTGGCACGCACGCACAGGACATCCAAGTAACACGGTGTTAAATAATACGATACGAGCAGGAGTCCTCAACAAAGACTCGCTACTACTACTCGACGGCAGAGAACTTCAACGTGCACGAGGGACTTGCCTCATCTGCCCCGAGGCCGACTTACCACATCGACCTTTTTCTTCTCACCACAACCCGAGCGCACCTGCATACGCACCACTCGAAAAAGTCTACAGCGACATCCTCTACAATCGAGAACCAGGCCAAGTAACCTATAATTACACGATTACCTTCATCGACGCCGCCACTCGATACGTCTTGCATCGCAACCTACCCAGCCGCGACATGGCACTCGCAGCATTCGCCGCTTGGCTACCGGTAGCAGAAAGGGAATCAGGAACGCAGCTGAAAAGCTTCCAGTCAGACGGAGGTGGCGAATACACCTCTCAGCGCTTCAAGCAGTACCTGGCGGAAAGGGGGATCAAGCAACTCCTCTCCCTTCCCTACGCACATCAGCAGCAGGGTGTTGCAGAAAGAATGAACAGGACCCTGCAGAACAGCATGCGCAAACTACTACGTGGCATGCGGCTACCCAACCACCAGTGGCCAGCAGCAATGGACCATGCTGTCATGCTGCACAACTTGCTTTCGTCGTCGTCACTCCCGAACAACGCATCACCGCATCTGCTGTGGACAGGAAAGCAGGGCAGCACAAAAATGTTACGAGTATTTGGGTGCATGGTCCAGTACCGACCCCCAGAAGCACGAGCGGGAAGATTTTCGCAACGGGCACAGTGGGGACTACACCTCGGCATCGAGAAAAATTACAACGCGTGGAGAATCTTCGACGTCCACACAAAAGAAACAGTAGCAGCACGTGATGTGATCTTCTACGAACGACTCACCCTTGAGACGTAACTCGCCAACTTGCACGAGAATCGGGACCCCACAGGTGGCTTTCGTGGTGACCGAGCCTTCACCTCAGCAGCGGACGAAGCAGACTGGGATGAACAGAACGTCAACAACGCATCGGAGGAAGCCGGACCTCTCCCGTACTGCTCCGTCGATGTGCCCATGGATGAAGATAATCCTCGCGACAGTAACAACGCCGAAGTCTTCTACCACTTCGCCGACAACGGTTACGTAACACCTGCGACAGTCAACACCAACGAAGCAGAAAGGATAGGGCCAAATTTCATCCCCGACCCAGAAGCGGGAGACGAAGCAGCTTATCCCGAGGATCCAGAACTCCCTCGATACTCACAGACTGGGCTACAAATCCTTGGCCTCGTCACCGCAGTCCACGGGACCGCCGGCAACACTCTTCCTAAAGAGCCTGCGACAGTTCAGCAGGCTCTGGGGGGGGAACACAGGGAAAAATGGCGTGAAGCCATGGACAGAGAATTAAAAGCACTGGAGGAACGCAATACCTGGAAGGTCGTTCCCGCAAGCGTGGCACGGAACAAGACCATTCTCACCGGGAAATGGGTCTTCCGCATCAAGACGAAAGCTGACGGCACAATCGAGAAGTTCAAAGCACGCTGGGTCGTGCGTGGATTCGACCAGGAACAAGGACGAGACTTCACCGAGACCTTCGCCCCAGTTAGTCGACATACCTCTCTCCGCATTCTTCTCGCCGTCGCCGCCATGAAGAAGAAGAAGCTGCGACAAATCGATGTCGCCAACGCATTCTTCTACGCACCCGTCGACGCAGACATCTTCGTCGAGCTCCCTCACGGTACCCACGGGGAACCCAATCAAGTCTGCCAACTGCTAAAGTCCCTCTACGGAATCAAGCAGGCCCCACGGCTGTGGCAACAGCACCTGCACACCCGCCTCATCCGCATCGGATTCCGCCAACTGCCCCATGACCAGGGCATGTACCGACTCACTAAAGGCGCCAACTACATCCTACTCATCGTCTACGTCGACGATCTCCTCTACATCGGCTCCACCGACGACGTCACCACCTGGTTCGAAGGGGAGCTGCAGAAAGATCTCACGCTCACGGTTTCTTCTACCGTCACGCAGTACCTTGGACTCAACATCCGCGAAGAAGAAAACGCAATCTATATAAGCGCCGAGAAATACGCCGACACGATCGCCAAGCGCTTCTCGCTCACCCCTACCGCTATCGCCACGCCATACCGCTACACGGCAGGAAACGGCCAAGGAAACTCCACCCTACTAAAAACCGCCGGAATACGCGACTACCAGCGAAAATTGGGATGTCTGCTCTTCGCAGCCGTCACCTGTCGCCCAGACCTGTCCTACTCCGCTAGCCAGCTCGCTACCTACCTCAAGAGGCCTGAAGCAGATCACATGTCAGAACTCGATCGCGCACTGCACTATCTCGTGAGCACATCGACGATCGGCCTGACTTACTACAAGAACGAAGCTGCGTCAACGAAACTAATCGGTTATGTCGATGCCGATCATGCCGGCGATCCAGATAACAGGCGCTCTCGCACCGGCTACGTCTATCGTCTCGAGCCTATCGGACCTATCTCCTGGCAGTCGAGTAAGCAGGAACTAATCGCTCTCTCTTCAGCTGAAGAAGAATATATCGCCCTCTGCTCAGCCACCAAGGAAGGATGTCAGTAGAGCTACACTGTGAGATCCCCGATCGATCCTAGGGAGGGTTACAGGCGCGTTTGCCTGGGGGGTTATGGGCGCACTGACCCGCTACTGAAACAAGCCCTTTTATCCCAATGGTCTAGTGGTTGGGATTCTGACATGGTATCAGAGCGGTCTCGGGTTCGATTCCCGGTGTATGCACATGTAGGCCTTTGCCGCTGTGCTTAGTCCTGGGCCTCCCAGTGTGGGGGGGTGTCAGTAGAGCTACACTGCGAGATCCCCGATCGATCCTAGGGAGGGTTACAGGCGCGTTTGCCTGGGGGGTTATGGGCGCACTGACCCGCTACTGAAACAAGCCCTTTTATCCCAATGGTCTAGTGGTTGGGATTCTGACAAAGGACTCTACCTTCGCGAACTGCTGGAAGAAGCAAAGTTAGCTGAGTTACCCAGCTTCACCCTGCACTGCGACAACCAATCTGCAATTCGCATCGCCAACAAAAACGGATTCGCGAACAGAACGAAGCATATCGCTCTGCGATACTTCTTCGTGAAAGACGAGATTGAGAAAGGAAGACTCGAGTTATCCTACTATCCCACGTCCGAGATGGCAGCCGATTATTTGACAAAGAAACTCGGAAAACAGAAGTTTGAGTACTGCATGCTGCTGACTGGACAAGGCCACGTCACCATCAGCGACACTCCAGAAGCGAAGGGGAGTGTTGGGAACAATAAGTCTTAAGGCGCCTCTGTCGTGTCGAAACTCAGGACACTAGCGAAGTAGTCCAAATCGAAGCATCGCGAGTCAACCCTCGGAGGTTGGGGTAACCGCCTGGAGGTTACGCGAAGGTCAAAGGTCAGCGACCTTTGACTTGACCAATACAGCGCGACAGCAAGGACACACAACTGACTCGACATTGAGCAGTTGCCCGAGTCGCACTGTATCGAATCGCAACAGTAAAACGGTTTAAATCTATCTATTCGTATTCCTTGTACTCTTATATAAACCTTGTATTTGCTTGTTTAATCTAACTTACTTTGCTCTCACATACTAGTGCAAGGTAGTTCAACCACTCTGTATTACAACGCTTCCGCTATTACAATCCTACTCAGTCCTTAAACTCTACAAAGATCCTAGGGCTTCTCAGCCCAACAATTTTCACCTATTGGGCCACTTGCAGCGGAAGATTCGCCAGCGTGGCGACAGCGAGATTGTGGGAGGGGGGAAATCTTGGCAGATAAGTGAAAGTACACACGAGAATTCACCTAGGGAGCAATTCTTGCGATATCCTCCCGTAAGGAATCGGACTCGATAACAGCTATAATAGGAATCTATAAGAAAAGGGGGGTGTTATAGAAAATCACCCCAAAAGGGGGGGTATAGTACAAACGGGGTCGGATATAACACCCACCCCGTATTAGCTACCCGGGGGTGTACAATTACGGGGGGGTGTTTTATCCGGGAGAATACGGTATACCGTAACTGCCTCAGCTGTGTTTTGTGCATTCAAGCTAAATCAGCAGCTTGTTATGTAAATAACAGATGTTGCTGCAGATTTCTTAACTGGATAACCACCACCGAGCCCTACCAATTACAACGCAGCCTCTGCAAGTGCCAGTTCAGCAAGGATCCCGTCTCTGACGTCAGCAGGGAGCTTTGCATTGACTCCGCTGCGCATGTAGAAGCGGGAGAGCGTTCTGAGCACAGAGTCGAGAGAGGAGGTGATGATCTGATTGGGGGGGGGGGGGGGGAAGGAGAAGAGGGAGGAAGGGGTGTTGTGGGGAAAGGCAGGGAGGGAATGTGAAAATGGAAAAAGAGGCAGCTTTGTGTTTGATTCTCTGCACTGCGCATGTGGAAGCGGGAGAACGTTCTGAGCAGAGTCGAGTGAGGAGTTGATGGTCTGATTGGGAGAGCGAGGAGGGAAGGAGGGAAGGAGGGAAGGAGTGGAGGCGGGGGAACGGGGAGGAGAGGGAAACGGCAGCAGAGGGAAAGGGGGTTTAGGGGGAAAGGGGAGGAGGGGAACGAGGGGAGGAGGTTAGGGAGTGAATGTGAAATAGAGGGAGGCTTGCCATTGATTCCCCTGCACCAGGCACGTATAAGCGGGAGAGTGTCGTGAGAGCAGAGTCAATATTTGTGGCGCCTCAAATATAAAGGGAGGCTTGCCAGTGATTCTTCTGCATCAGGCATGTAAAACTGGGAGAGCGTTGTGAGAGCAGAGTCGCGAGAAGGGGTGATGGTGGTGTCGTAGGGAGAGGGAGGAGAAGGGGGAGAGGGAGGAGAGGCGGGGAGAGGGAGGAGAGGAAGGAAAAGGGGGAAGAGGGCAATGAGGTTCAGACGATTGGGATAGAGTGAGACGAGACGACCACGCTAGGAATTAGGTGAAATAAGCCTTCCTTTCAACCTCTCAACCGTTTCTCCCACGCATCTTCCCACCTTTCCCATCCCCACGCATCTCCCCACCCCCATGCGTGTTCCCCATCCCCGTCTTCCCCACCCCCTGCTCTCACCTCCATACAATCTGCTGCCCAGTGACCTTCCGTCGCCACTCCCCATTAAGTGCGTGAATAAAGAGTTCAGCCATCCCACCTTTCAACTCCTCCACTTGTTCCACCCTCCCCTCGTTCCTCCCTTCCCTCGTTCCACCCTCCTCTCGTTCGTTCCACCCTTCCTTCCGGTCCCCTGCACTCACCTCCCCTGCGCTTGGCATTGAATGAACTGCAACTTGTAACCCTTCCGGCGTTCAGTCCAGTCCTTCTTCCCCCATGCATCCTCCACTGTCTCTCCTTCGCTCACCTCCATATAATCTGCTGACGAGAGACCTTCCCCAAACACTCCCCTTAAATACCCACAAGCAGTTCAAAACTCCCCTAGTTTATAACTCAGCTCGTTCAGCCCTCCCCACGTTCAGCCTTCAACTCTCCCCCTGTTCAACCCTCCTCTCAGCGCATACTCCCCCCTTCCCCTGCGCTCACCTCAGTGTTCTCCGGCGCTTTCCCCCGCCACTCCCCCAGGTACGCGCGGATCGCGCCCTTAGCCACGTCCGCCTTGCGCCGGAACTCCCCCCGGTCGCCCTCCTCCGCGCCCAGCGCGTCGCGCAGGCTGCTGATGAGCGCCGTCACGCTCCGCACGTACGCCTTCGGAAGCCGCCGCCCGCTCGCCGTGAGCTCGTCCGAATCGAACGCGGATCGGAGCCCTTTTAGCAGGTCGCTTCCGCCCGCGGCTTCCACCGTTGCGGCGGCGTCCGCGGCGGCGTGCGCGACGGGGGGGACGGCGGGTAGTGGGAGGTACGGGGAGAGGGTGGCGGAAGCCAAGGCGAGGAGTCCGCCCGCGAGCGCGGAGCGTCTGGGGAGGGCTTCGGGGGAAGCGGCGGAAGCGGCGGAAGCGGGAGTGGCGGAAGTGGAGGGGTGGGCGGAAGGTTGGTTTTCCGCCTGCGCTGACGCGCGGATAGGGGCAACGGCGGATGTGCGACTGCGTGTGGCACCATTGGCGGGAGAGACGCGCGCAGCGCAGGCGGAAGAAAGGACTGGCGCGGGGAAAAGGGCGGAGGGTGCGAGTGCAAGCGCGCGAGGGTCCATTTTGGAGTGCTTTTAAATAAGGGTCGAGTGCTCTTGAATGTTCCGAGTCGCCTATCAGGGTGAGGAGAGGAAATCTGCTGCGAAGGGAAATGCACCGAATGGTGTTCCGAAAGGAGGGCGCAATGCGGGGAGCCGGTGCGGCGGAGTCCGCAAGCCCAATGTTCCGAAAGGAGGGCGCAATGCGGGGAGCGCTGGTCCGATGTCCGGCAGCACAAAACGCTGGCTTCTCGGCACGACGTCGGCTGGCAGCTCCGGCGGGAAAAAGCGTCGTCGCGAGCTCGACACGAGCTGCAAATCGCGACGAAAGAACGACCAGGAGTGGCGATGAAAAGATTGGCCTGCTCGGACAGAAGCCGTCGCGATGCAAAATGAGAACGGATTTTGATTCAGAATGAAGCGCCTGAATGGTAAGAGGCGACTATTGCTGACTCAGCTGGAGATTTCTATGATATTCAATTGGGGGGTGGAGCGTGTTCTTTCACAAAACGTTTCGATCCGTTCGGGCAGACACTTTGGTTTCCGGGACAGAGAGTGGTAACTCCGAAGGGACACACGATCTTCGTCAATTCATCCAAACTGGAAAACAATCTCGCATGTGCTGGTAACAATGTTCGTATCGCACCTACGTACGAAGCCCAATATTTGGCGAAATCTCAAATCATGAGTTCGCGAGGAGGTTTCGTGAATCAAAACACTACTGTCGCTCTGCGATAGCCCCATCCCCCGGCTGCGAAATTGTGAACCTTCCGCGACGATCAAACTGCGTGCGCGTTCCGTAAAAAAACTTCAACATCACAACCAGCACCATTGAAGCATCGGTTTTTCACATATCGAGTACATCCATGTGGCAGCAAGCAGCAGCAGTGGCGCGTTGATCGTGGCGTGATCCTAGATTCGAGGCCGCTTTCCTTGCCGAGGGGCCAGACAGCAACAGCCGACATTCTTCAATTCGCCGTTCTTCACCTCGTAGCGGCGTTTCCGCGAGTAAAAAAACGTTTCACCGCGATTCATCGACCAGGCCTCCTCATTCGCCGCGTCGCTCACCTATCCCTCGCATTCTCCGTGAATTTCTCGTGTTCCTTGATTTCGGAGGCTCCTAAAACTCTTGTTCCCTCGTCACGCTAAGACCCCTCCAAAAGCGGCGCTATGTGCGGCATCGCTCTTGTCGCCCAGCGCCTGCGAACTGTTAGCTGCCGCACGGCAGGGCGTCGCACAGAGAGCGGCTGCGACGGGCCGTGCGACAGCGAGCGATCCAGAGTAAGGGGATGGATTGGATATAAAAGTCTTACTTTTGTGCATGGATCCAAATGTCCCTTCTGTGTGGAAGGAAAAGTGTCTCTTTTGTGTATGGATAAAACTGACGCCTCTGCTTGATTGATTGAGTTAAGGCTTCAGCTTAAGAACGTATGTCTGTCCTCCCCTCTGCGTTCTTCTCATGTCACTGTAACAGGCGTGCTGCTGCCAATCAGGGGACGCCACGTGTAACAGTAATAAAGCCTCTGCAGCACCACAACCCCCTGTGTGTGCTTATAACGAGGTGCCTCAGAGTACCCCCCTGTGCGCTTGTATCGGGTCACCTTCTATCGAGTCTCTTGCCGCTTCTCTCAGCCGCAGGGGCCCTGATCGATCCTCCGCCCTCTCCCTTCAGCTGCCGTTTCCCACCACCACCAATGCCTCTCCACCGCTTCCCACCGCACGCTGTCCCCTCACACGCCTGTCCTTGCTAGCTTCAGTGCTGCAAGTTCGGGGGGAGGGGGAGAGCGTGGGGGGGGGAGGGGAAGCGAAAGAGGGGGAGAGTGTGGGAGGAGGAGAGGGGGGAGGAAGGGGGATGATGAATCACAGGGCGCAGGGTCCCCCTCCCTCCTCTCTCGCGCAGGGTCCTGCAGAGAGGGGGGAGGGTGGTGAAGGGGGGCACGTTGAGTGTGACGGTAGGGTCCACAAAAGTGAGGGAGGAGAGAATGAGGAGGGAGGGGTAAATGAGAAGGGAGGAGAGAATGAGGGAGGACAAAGCGGGTTCAAGCAAGGACAGTGTGAGGCGGCCCAAAGAAAGGGACGGAGTGGGTACCAGGCAGCTGGCCAAGGAATGGGCGGGGAGGCGAGAGGAGGAGAGGGAGGAGAGGGAGGAGAGGTGTCCCAGCCGCTGATGGATCAGCACGGCAATGTCCTCCTATTTAACGGTATAAACAACCCTTATTTTTTCACACTGTCCCAGCTGGAATGATTATATCGCTATTCAACTTAAACAAAAAAAAAAAACAAAAAAAAAAAAAACTCACTTTGCGCGGGTATGTCATGGAATATTGATTCCGCCTTCAGCTGTGTCTTTTCTTCGCTGTCTGATTCTCTGCTCATCGGGACTTTCGCAGGTGAGATATTCGGCGGGCTGCCCGGCCTTCAACCAGAGCAGAACGATGCGCAGTGCCTTCTCTCCGCCCTCTCCTCCTGCTGCTCCTTCCGCTGCCCCACCCCACGTGCCCTTGACACAACCACCAGTGCGGCAAGCATCAAGAATGGTCATAACAGTGCTACCACCACTATCAGTCAACCCCATATCAGCAGCAGCAACATCCCATCAGTTCCTTCCATCTCCTTCTCACAACCTTCCTCCTCCTCTCCTCCCTCCGCCCATCCTGACCAGCCATCCTCCCCTCTCTCCGCCCGTCCAGCCCCCCCCTGCGCCCACCCCCACTCCGTCCCCCGCCTGCTCTCCTCTCTCCGCGGCCCCTTCGCGCTGGCCTATTGGCAGGCGACAGCTGGCACGCTCTGGTTGGCCCGCGACTTCATGGGGCGGCGCAGCCTGCTGTTCCACGGGCCTTGCGTTGAGGGGAGTGGGGAGGAGGGGAGAAGGGGGAAGGAAAGAAAGGAGGAGGGTAGAGGGGAGGAGGGAAGGGGAGGGCTGAGCACTTTTGTGGTCAGCAGCGTGTGCCCCTCGCCTCTTCCTCTCGGTCTCTTGAGTGGCGAGAGAGCAAAGAGTGAAGGGCGGACAAGGGAGGGGTCGCTAGGAACTTTGGCTTCTTGCGAGTCGACTCAACAATCCAATCCGGAGAGAGCAGAAATTGACGCGCGGACAGAGGAGGGGGCGTTGGATAGAGCAGAGCGGGCAGGAGAGGGGAGAGTAGAGAGATTAGGTGAGAGATTGGAAAAAGGGGCAAGACTACGAGGAGGGGAAAGTGGTGAAGGAGGGATAGGAGCAGAGGGAGGAGGAGGGGAGGTAGGAGGAGGAAGAAGAGGTGGTGGTGGGAAAGCGGTTGACCAGAGTGGTTTGCCCGAGTTTGGGTTCTGGCAGGAGCTGCCATGCGGGATATACAGCACTGTGCTTCCATCGCGTAGCGCTGCTACTTCACATGCTGCTTCTTTCTCATCTCATAGCGAAGGAGTGAGTGAGGGGTTGAGAGTGAGTGAGGGAGTGAGGGCGAGGGAGGACGAGTGGAAGTGGTTCCGGCATGAGTGGGAGGATGAAACCGTCCAGCGACTGCTGACGTGGCAGCGCCCAATGGCAGCTGACGTGGCAAACCGAGGTGCTGAGCTGGCATCAGATGGCTCTGAGGTGGCGTACTCCGGTATTGAGCTGGCAGCAAGTGATGCGGCTGACTCAGCAGCAGATGCTGTGCTGGCCGCACTGGATAAAGCGGTGGGGATTCGTGTGACGCATATTCGAGAGGAAAGGCACATTGGAAAAGGTATACCCATTGGCCCACTGGACGGACATGGAGCATCGGCAGCACCAGTGGGGGCGTGTGTGCGCAGGGAAGAAGAGGCCGCACCACTGGCAGCACCAGAAGCAGCAGCAGAGGTAGCAGCGGTGGCAGGAGATGCGTGCAGGGCGGAGGAGCTGGTAGCAGCAGAGGCAGCAGAGGCAGCAGCAGCAGGACATGCGTGCAGAGAAAGAGAGGAGCAAGTGGCACCAGTGGTGGTGCTGTTCTCAGGGGGGCTCGACTCCATGCTGCTGGCGGCCCTGGCTCACCGCCATGTGCCCATCCACCGTGAGTGCATGCGTGCATGGGTGCGTACATGGGTGCGTGCATGGGTGCGTGCATGGGTACGTGCATGGGTGCGTGCATGGGTGCGTGCATGGGTGCGTGCATGGGTACGTGCATGGGTGCGTGCATGGGTGCGTGCATGGGTGCGTGCATGGGTACGTGCATGGGTGCGTGCATGGGTGCGTGCATGGGTGCGTGCATGGGTGCGTGCGTAGGTACGTGCATGGGTGCGTGCATGGGTGCGTGCATGGGTGCGTGCGTAGGTACGTGCATGGGTGCGTGCGTGGATGCGTGCATGGGTGCGTGCATGGGTGCGTGCGTGGGTGCGTGCATGGGTGCGTGCATGGGTGCGTGCATGCGTGCGTGCGTGGGTGCGTGCGTGGGTGCGTGCTTGGGTGCGTGCGTGGGTGCGTGCGTGGGTGCGTGCATGGGTGCGTGCATGGGTGCGTGCATGGGTGCGTGCATGGGTGCGTGCATGGGTGCGTGCATGGGTGCGTGCCTGGGTGCGTGCATGGGTACGTGCATGGGTGCGTGCATGGGTGCGTGCATGGGTGCGTGCATGGGTGCGTGCATGGGTACGTGCATGGGTGCGTGCATGGGTGCGTGCATGGGTGCGTGCATGGGTACGTGCATGGGTGCGTGCATGGGTGCGTGCATGGGTGCGTGCATGGGTGCGTGCATGGGTGCGTGCATGGGTGCGTGCATGGGTGCGTGCGTAGGTGCGTGCGTGGGTGCGTGCATGGGTGCGTGCATGGGTGCGTACATGGGTGCGTGCATGGGTGCGTGCATGGGTACGTGCATGGGTGCGTGCATGGGTGCGTGCATGGGTGCGTGCATGGGTACGTGCATGGGTGCGTGCATGGGTGCGTGCATGGGTGCGTGCATGGGTGCGTGCATGGGTGCGTGCATGGGTGCGTGCATGGGTGCGTGCATGGGTGCGTGCGTAGGTACGTGCATGGGTGCGTGCGTGGATGCGTGCATGGGTGCGTGCATGGGTGCGTGCGTGGGTGCGTGCGTGGGTGCGTGCATGGGTGCGTGCATGCGTGCGTGCGTGGGTGCGTGCGTGGGTGCGTGCGTGGGTGCGTGCGTGGGTGCGTGCGTGGGTGCGTGCATGGGTGCGTGCATGGGTGCGTGCATGGGTGCGTGCATGGGTGCGTGCATGGGTGCGTGCATGGGTGCGTGCCTGGGTGCGTGCATGGGTACGTGCATGGGTGCGTGCATGGGTGCGTGCATGGGTGTGTGCATGGGTGCGTGCATGGGTACGTGCATGGGTGCGTGCATGGGTGCGTGCATGGGTGCGTGCATGGGTACGTGCATGGGTGCGTGCATGGGTGCGTGCATGGGTGCGTGCATGGGTGCGTGCATGGGTGCGTGCATGGGTGCGTGCATGGGTGCGTGCGTGGGTGCGTGCGTGGGTGCGTGCATGGGTGCGTGCATGGGTGCGTACATGGGTGCGTGCATGGGTGCGTGCATGGGTACGTGCATGGGTGCGTGCATGGGTGCGTGCATGGGTGCGTGCATGGGTACGTGCATGGGTGCGTGCATGGGTGCGTGCATGGGTGCGTGCATGGGTGCGTGCATGGGTGCGTGCATGGGTGCGTGCATGGGTGCGTGCATGGGTGCGTGGGTAGGTATGTGCATGGGTGCGTGCGTGGATGCGTGCATGGGTGCGTGCATGGGTGCGTGCGTGGGTGCGTGCGTGGGTGCGTGCATGGGTGCGTGCATGCGTGCGTGCGTGGGTGCGTGCGTGGGTGCGTGCGTGGGTGCGTGCGTGGGTGCGTGCGTGGGTGCGTGCATGGGTGCGTGCATGGGTGCGTGCATGGGTGCGTGCATGGGTGCGTGCATGGGTGCGTGCATGGGTGCGTGCCTGGGTGCGTGCATGGGTACGTGCATGGGTGCGTGCATGGGTGCGTGCGTGGGTGCGTGCGTGGGTGCGTGCGTGGGTGCGTGCGTGGGTGCGTGCATGGGTGCGTACATGGGTGCGTGCATGGGTGCGTGCATGGGTACGTGCATGGGTGCGTGCATGGGTGCGTGCATGGGTGCGTGCATGGGTACGTGCATGGGTGCGTGCATGGGTGCGTGCATGGGTGCGTGCATGGGTGCGTGCATGGGTGCGTGCATGGGTGCGTGCATGGGTGCGTGCGTGGGTGCGTGCGTGGGTGCGTGCATGGGTGCGTGCATGGGTGCGTACATGGGTGCGTGCATGGGTGCGTGCATGGGTACGTGCATGGGTGCGTGCATGGGTGCGTGCATGGGTGCGTGCATGGGTACGTGCATGGGTGCGTGCATGGGTGCGTGCATGGGTGCGTGCATGGGTGCGTGCATGGGTGCGTGCATGGGTGCGTGCATGGGTGCGTGCGTAGGTACGTGCATGGGTGCGTGCGTGGATGCGTGCATGGGTGCGTGCATGGGTGCGTGCGTGGGTGCGTGCGTGGGTGCGTGCATGGGTGCGTGCATGCGTGCGTGCGTGGGTGCGTGCGTGGGTGCGTGCGTGGGTGCGTGCGTGGGTGCGTGCGTGGGTGCGTGCATGGGTGCGTGCATGGGTGCGTGCATGGGTGCGTGCATGGGTGCGTGCATGGGTGCGTGCATGGGTGCGTGCCTGGGTGCGTGCATGGGTACGTGCATGGGTGCGTGCATGGGTGCGTGCGTGGGTGCGTGCGTGGGTGCGTGCGTGGGTGCGTGCATGGGTGCGTGCATGGGTGCGTGCATGGGTGCGTGTATGGGTGCGTGCATGGGTGCGTGCATGGGTGCGTGCATGGGTGCGTGCATGGGTGCGTGCGTGGGTGCGTGCATGGGTGCGTGCATGGGTGCGTGCATGGGTGCGTGCGTGAGTGCGTGCATGGGCGCGTGCGTGGGTGCGTGCATGGGTGCGTGCGTGGGTGCGTGCATGGGTGCGTGCATGGGTGCGTGCATGGGTGCGTGTGTGGGTGCGTGTATGGGTGCGTGCATGGGTGCGTGCGTGGGTGCGTGCGTGGGTGCGTGCATGGGTGCGTGTGTGGGTGCGTGTATGGGTGCGTGCATGGGTGCGTGCGTGGGTGCGTGCGTGGGTGCGTGCGTGGGTGCGTGCGTGGGTGGGTGCTGGGGTGCGTGCATGGGTGCGTGCATGGGTGCGTGCGTGGGTGCGTGCATGCGTGCGTGCATGCGTGCGTGCGTGGTGCGGGCATGGGTGCGTGCATGGGTGCGTGCATGCGTGCATGCATGCGTGCGTGCGTGGTGCGTGCGTGGGTGCGTGCATGGGTGCGTGCATTGGTGCGTGCGTGGGTGCGTGCGTGGATGCGTGCGTGGGTGCGTGCGTGGGTGCGTGCGTGGGTGGGTGCTGGGGTGCGTGCATGGGTGCGTGCATGGGTGCGTGCGTGGGTGCGTGCGTGGGTGCGTGCGTGGGTGCGTGCGTGGGTGCGTGCATGGATGCGTGCATGGGTGCATGCATGGGTGCGTGCATGGGTGCGTGCATGGGTGCGTACATGGGTGCGTGCATTGGTGCGTGCATGGGTGCATGCATGGGTGCGTGCATGGGTGCGTGCATGGGTGCGTGCATGGGTGCGTGCATGGGTGCGTGCATGGGTGCGTGCATGGGTGCGTGCATGGGTACGTGCATGGGTCCGTGCATGGGTGCGTGCATGGGTGCGTGCGTGGGTACGTGCATGGGTGCGTGCGTGGATGCGTGCATGGGTGCGTGCATGGGTGCGTGCGTGGGTGCGTGCGTGGGTGCGTGCATGGGTGCGTGCATGCGTGCGTGCGTGGGTGCGTGCGTGGGTGAGTGCGTGGGTGCGTGCGTGGGTGCGTGCGTGGGTGCGTGCGTGGGTGCGTGCATGGGTGCGTGCATGGGTGCGTGCATGGGTGCGTGCATGGGTGCGTGCATGGGTGCGTGCATGGGTGCGTGCATGGGTGCGTGCATGGGTACGTGCATGGGTGCGTGCATGGGTGCGTGCATGGGTGCGTGCGTGGGTGCGTGCGTGGGTGCGTGCATGGGTGCGTGCATGGGTGCGTGCATGGGTGCGTGCATGTGTGCGTGCATGGGTGCGGGCATGGGTGCGTGCATGGGTGCGTGCATGGGTGCGTGCATGGGTGCGTGCGTGGGTGCGTGCGTGGGTGCGTGCATGGGTGCGTGCGTGGGTGCGTGCATGGGTGCGTGCGTGGGTGCGTGCATGGGTGCGTGCGTGGGTGCGTGCATGGGTGCGTGCGTGGGTGCGTGCATGGATGCGTGCATGGGTGCGTGCATGGGTGCGTGTGTGGGTGCGGGTATGGGTGCGTGCATGGGTGCGTGCGTGGGTGCGTGCGTGGGTGCGTGCATGGGTGCGTGCGTGGGTGCGGGCATGGGTGCGTGCGTGGGTGCATGCATGCGTGCGTGCATGGTGCGTGCGTGGTGCGGGCATGGGTGCGTGCGTGGGTGCGTGCATGCGTGCGTGCATGCGTGCGTGCGTGGTGCGTGCATGGGTGCGTGCATGGGTGCGTGCATGGGTGCGTGCGTGGATGCGTGCGTGGATGCGTGCGTGGGTGCGTGCGTGGGTGCGTGCGTGGGTGCGTGCGTGGGTGCGTGCGTGGGTGCGTGCGTGGGTGCGTGCGTGGGTGGGTGCTGGGGTGCGTGCATGGGTGCGTGCATGGGTGCGTGCGTGGGTGCGTGCGTGGGTGCGTGCGTGGGTGCGTGCGTGGATGCGTGCATGGATGCGTGCATGGGTGCGTGCATGGGTGCGTGCGTGGGTGCGTGCATGGGTGCGTGCATGGGTGCGTGCATGGGTGCGTGCATGGGTGCGTGCATGGGTGCGTGCCTGGGTGCGTGCATGGGTACGTGCATGGGTGCGTGCATGGGTGCGTGCGTGGGTGCGTGCGTGGGTGCGTGCGTGGGTGCGTGCATGGGTGCGTGCATGGGTGCGTGCATGGGTGCGTGTATGGGTGCGTGCATGGGTGCGTGCATGGGTGCGTGCATGGGTGCGTGCATGGCTGCGTGCGTGGGTGCGTGCATGGGTGCGTGCATGGGTGCGTGCATGGGTGCGTGCGTGAGTGCGTGCACGGGCGTGTGCGTGGGTGCGTGCATGGGTGCGTGCGTGGGTGCGTGCATGGGTGCGTGCATGGGTGCGTGCATGGGTGCGTGTGTGGGTGCGTGTATGGGTGCGTGCATGGGTGCGTGCGTGGGTGCGTGCGTGGGTGCGTGCATGGGTGCGTGCGTGGGTGCGGGCATGGGTGCGTGCGTGGGTGCGTGCATGCGTGCGTGCATGCGTGCGTGCGTGGTGCGGGCATGGGTGCGTGCATGGGTGCGTGCATTCGTGCATGCATGCGTGCGTGCGTGGTGCGTGCGTGGGTGCGTGCATGGGTGCGTGCATTGGTGCGTGCGTGCGTGCGTGCGTGGATGCGTGCGTGGGTGCGTGCGTGGGTGCGTGCGTGGGTGGGTGCTGGGGTGCGTGCATGGGTGCGTGCATGGGTGCGTGCGTGGGTGCGTGCGTGGGTGCGTGCGTGGGTGCGTGCGTGGGTGCGTGCATGGATGCGTGCATGGGTGCGTGCATGGGTGCGTGCATGGGTGCGTGCATGGGTGCGTGCATGGGTGCGTGCATTGGTGCGTGCATGGGTGCGTGCATGGGTGCGTGCATGGGTGCGTGCATGGGTGCGTGCATGGGTGCGTGCATGGGTGCGTGCATGGGTGCGTGCATGGGTACGTGCATGGGTGCGTGCATGGGTGCGTGCATGGGTGCGTGCGTGGGTACGTGCATGGGTGCGTGCGTGGATGCGTGTATGGGTGCGTGCATGGGTGCGTGCGTGGGTGCGTGCGTGGGTGCGTGCATGGGTGCGTGCATGCGTGCGTGCGTGGGTGCGTGCGTGGGTGCGTGCGTGGGTGCGTGCGTGGGTGCGTGCGTGGGTGCGTGCGTGGGTGCGTGCATGGGTGCGTGCATGGGTGCGTGCATGGGTGCGTGCATGGGTGCGTGCATGGGTGCGTGCATGGGTGCGTGCATGGGTGCGTGCATGGGTGCGTGCATGGGTACGTGCATGGGTGCGTGCATGGGTGCGTGCATGGGTGCGTGCGTGGGTGCGTGCGTGGGTGCGTGCATGGGTGCGTGCATGGGTGCGTGCATGGGTGCGTGCATTTGTGCGTGCATGGGTGCGGGCATGGGTGCGTGCATGGGTGCGTGCATGGGTGCGTGCATGGGTGCGTGCGTGGGTGCGTGCGTGGGTGCGTGCATGGGTGCGTGCGTGGGTGCGTGCATGGGTGCGTGCGTGGGTGCGTGCATGGGTGCGTGCGTGGGTGCGTGCATGGGTGCGTGCGTGGGTGCGTGCATGGATGCGTGCATGGGTGCGTGCATGGGTGCGTGTGTGGGTGCGGGTATCGGTGCGTGCATGGGTGCGTGCGTGGGTGCGTGCGTGGGTGCGTGCATGGGTGCGTGCGTGGGTGCGGGCATGGGTGCGTGCGTGGGTGCATGCATGCGTGCGTGCATGGTGCGTGCGTGGTGCGGGCATGGGTACGTGCGTGGGTGCGTGCATGCGTGCGTGCATGCGTGCGTGCGTGGTGCGTGCATGGGTGCGTGCATGGGTGCGTGCATGGGTGCGTGCGTGGATGCGTGCGTGGATGCGTGCGTGGGTGCGTGCGTGGGTGCGTGCGTGGGTGCGTGCGTGGGTGCGTGCGTGGGTGCGTTCGTGGGTGCGTGCGTGGGTGCGTGCGTGGGTGGGTGCTGGGGTGCGTGCATGGGTGCGTGCATGGGTGCGTGCGTGGGTGCGTGCGTGGGTGCGTGCGTGGGTGCGTGCATGGGTGCGTGCATGGGTGCGTGCATGGGTGCGTGCATGGGTGCGTGCATGGATGCGTGCATGGGTGCGTGCATGGGTGCGTGCATGGGTGCGTGCATGGGTGCGTGCGTGGGTGCGTGCGTGGGTGCGTGCACGGGTGCGTGCATGGGTGCGTGCATGGGTGTGTGCGTGGGTGTGTGCATGGGTGCGTGCGTGGATGCGTGCATGGGTGCGTGCATGGGTGCGTGCGTGGGTGCGTGCATGGGTGCGTGCGTGGGTGCGTGCATGGGTGCGTGCATGCGTGTGTGCGTGGAGCGTGCGTGGGTGCGTGCGTGGGTGCGTGCATGGGTGCGTGCATGGGTGCGTGCGTGGATGCGTGCATGGGTGCGTGCATTGGTGCGTGCGCGCATGTGCATGGGCCCACCGCCCTGTGCCCATCCACCGTGAGCCATATTTTCTGTCAACTTGTTTACATTCTTCTATTTCTCTACTGGTTTCTATCTAAAAATAAAAAACAATGCTGTTTTTGTGATGATGATGATGATGATGATGATGATGATGATGATGATGATGATGATGATGATGATGATGATGATGATGATGATGATGATGATGATGATGATGATGATGATGATGATGATGATGATGATGATGATGATGATGATGATGATGATGATGATGATGATGATGATGATGATGATGATGATGATGATTAGTGTACCATTATTTATGCATTTATTCTTTATTATTATGATCATCATTATTATTAAAATAATATTGTTGCTATTATCTTTTTTATTATTATTATTTTTACTCCCCTACCAACTCCTGACAAGCCTGTCCATCGCTATTTTTGCTGAATCGTAGGGAGATGTCACTCCGGACCTCCTCCTCCTCCTCCTCCTCCTCCTCCTCCTCCTCCTCCTCCTCCTCCTCCTCCTCCTCCTCCTCCTCCTCCTCCTCCTCCTCCTCCTCCTCCTCCTCCTCCTCCTCCTCCTCCTCCTCCTCCTCCTCCTCCTCGTCCACCTCTTCCTTATTCCTCTTTTTCCTGCTTCTGCTTCTCTTTTTTCTTCTCCTCCCCTCCCACCCACATCCTCCCTTCCCTCCACCACAGGACCCATCGAGCTGCTGAATGTGAGCTTTGCCGGGGCAGCAGCACCGGACAGGCAGACAGCGAGGATGGGAGTGAGGGAGCTTGTGGGAGCGTGTGAAGGCAGGAGGTGAGTGAAACTTGACATGGGCAAGAGAAGGGGTGGGTGGTTATTATCTCCAAGTGTGATCTGTGTATGGAGCAGCAGCACCGGACAGGCAGACAGCGAGGATGGGAGTGAGGGAGCTGGTGCGAGCATGCGAGGGGAGGAGGTGAGTGAGACAGGGTATTGATGGCATAGTGGATTCGGGTCTTTCCCTGCTGTGACCAGGTGGCGTCTGGTGCAGGTGGCATCTGGTGCAGGTGGATTCGAGTCTTCCGCTGCTGGAACCTGACTTCTCTATCAGCCCCTTTTCCGTTTACTTGCGGTGCAGGTGGCATCTGGTGGAGGTGGATTCGACCCTCTCAGAAGTGGATCAAGTCAAAACGCACCTGCTCTCCCTGCTCTGCCCATCCCACACGCACATGGTAATCCCACTCACACCAACATGGTATGTCTGTGACACACATGGTAAGTCATGACGCACACCCATTCGACCCTCTCAGAGGTGGTTCAAGTCAAGAGACACCTGCTCTCCCTGCTCTACCTGCTCTGCCCCTCCCACACTCACATGACATGTCTGTGTTTTGCTCTGCCCATCCCACACACACATGGTAATCCCACACCAGCATCCTATGTGCCACTTGGTCATCATCCCACATGCTATGTGCCACTTGGTCATCATCCCACATGTTATGTGCCACTTGGTCATCATCCCACATGCTATGTGCCATGCCATGTTGTGTTTTATCATGTTGTGACTGACACAGCTACACATGACATGACCACTGGCCCACTCACTGGTTTGCCAAACCTGGGTCACTCACTGGCTTGCGGAACCTGGGTCACTCACTGGCTTGCCGAACCTGGGTCACTCTCTGGCTTGCCGAACCTGGGTCACTCACTGGCTTGCCGACCTGGGTCACTCACTGGCTTGCCGAACCTGGGTCACTTTCTGGCTTGCCCCCCCGCCCCCCCGTGCTCCCAGGACCTCAACATTGGTGCGGCACTGTGGCTTGCTGCTAGAGGGGAGGGCAGGATGATACGCTATGGGGGGGAGGGGGAAGGCGATGGGGAAGAGGAGGAAGAGGTGTGCAGAGCTGTGATGGGGAGTGCGGAGGTGTACAGAGCACATGCGCGGGTGGTGTTCGTGGGGACGGGTGCAGATGAACAGTGCGGGGGCTATGCTCGCTACAGGACGAAATTCCGGCAAGGAGGGTGAGAGGGGTGGGGAGGGGGGTAAGGCTTAAGGGAAGGGTGTGTACGTACCTCATCTCCCCCTTCCCGTCCTTCCTCCCTCCCTTCCCCAGCTGGCCATCCCTGGAGAGCGAGATGAGGGAGGACGTGTGTCGCTTGTGGCACTAGTGGCTCCTCTCACTCCTCTCACTCCTCTCACACATGCACACACACACTCACACACACTCACACACACACACACACACACACGCACACACACACCGTGTACCCTGTGCATGTGTTTCATCTCCCACCACCTTTCCTTCCCCAGCTGGCCATCCTTGGAGAGCGAGATGAGGGACGACGTGCAGCGCCTGGGGCGCCGCAACCTTGGACGGGACGACCGGTGCGGTTTGGACCATGGCAGAAAAACCTGCTCCTTTAGTCAGAGGAGTGAGATGCGCCTCATATCTTCCCTTTCTTCGTCCCTCCCTTCTTCCCCAGCTGGCCATCTCTGGAGAGTGAGATGAGGGACGACATGCAGCGCCTGTGGCGGCGCAACCTGGGCCGGGACGACCGGTGCCTCTCTGACCACGGGAGAGAGGTGAGGTGCGCTTGTTTGATCTCCTCACCCGTAAACTTCTTTGTAGTCGACTCGAGAATCGCAACCCGGGACCGGACGACCGGTGCCATGCCAGTCGGTCCACGGCAGAGAGGTGCGGTCTGTTGATCATCACAGGTGCGCTCATGTTTTGATCAGCCTGGACCGGGCCGACAGGTGCTCTAAGTGACTTTTGAGTCGACTCAAAAGTCATCTTTCGATCATCACAGGTGCGCTCATGTTTTGATCAACCTGGACCGGGCCAACAGGTGCTTTAATGTGTTGGTCGGAGTATCTGGCGTCTCGAAGCTCTCTCTGTCCGGTCTTGGTCGGAGTATCTGGGGGGTGGGTGGTTGATCAGCTGAATTGAGGTTTGCTCTAGTTTTCATGCGATCTCACATCTCTCTCTTGGTCACATTTTCCGGTTAAAACTGACCGTTGCGTGTGAGACCACAGGAGACAGATGTGCTTGTTGGTTCCCACTTCTTGCTCTTGCTTTGGACATGCTACCTGCTCCTTTTTCTCCTCGCAACCCCCTTTCTCTGGCCCACATTTACAAAGTAAAACAAGCTGTTCGAGATCCCCAATCCTGCCTCTCATTCACCAGCTCATCCCATTTTGAGAAGTCTCAAAAACGACTTCAAACCTTTTCTGCACTGTCCTCTTTGCGCCCGCTGTCACCAGCCACGCTTCCCCTTCTTGGACGAGGGAGTGATGAGCGCGCTGCTGGCCCTCCCTCTGCCTCGCATCGCCAACCTGCACCTCCCTCCGGGCACAGGAGACAAGCTCATACTGCGGCAGGTGAGAGCTAAAATCAAGACAAACACGAGGGATTAATGAGCTGAGAGCTAAAATCAAGACAAACACGAGGGATTAATGAGTTGAGAGCTAAAATCAAGACAAACACGAGGGATTAATGAGTTGAGAGCTAAAATCAAGGCAAACACGAGGGATTAATGAGTTGAGAGCTAAAATCAAGACAAACACGAGGGATTAATGAGTTGAGAGCTAAAATCAAGGCAAACACGAGGGATTAATGAGTTGAGAGCTAAAATCAAGACAAACACGAGGGATTAATGAGTTGAGAGCTAAAATTAAGGCAAACACGAGGGATTAATGAGTTGAGAGCTAAAATCAAGACAAACACGAGGGATTAATGAGTTGAGAGCTAAAATCAAGGCAAACACGAGGGATTAATGAGTTGAGAGCTAAAATCAAGACAAACACGAGGGATTAATGAGTTGAGAGCTAAAATCAAGACAAACACGAGGGATTAATGAGTTGAGAGCTAAAATCAAGACAAACACGAGGGATTAATGAGTTGAGAGCTAAAATCAAGACAAACACGAGGGATTAATGAGTTGAGAGCTAAAATCAAGACAAACACGAGGGATTAATGAGTTGAGAGCTAAAATCAAGACAAACACGAGGGATTAATGAGTTGAGAGCTAAAATCAAGACAAACACGAGGGATTAATGAGTTGAGAGCTAAAATCAAGACAAACACGAGGGATTAATGAGTTGAGAGCTAAAATCAAGACAAACACGAGGGATTAATGAGCGCACTGTTGGCTCTCGCTCTCCCTCGCATCACCAACCTGCACCTCCTTCCGGGCACAGGAGACAAGCTCATATTGCAGCAGGTGAGAGTTACAGTCGATATGAAAGATGAGGGAGTTGTTTCAGAACCTGAGCAAGTGATGGGAAGGAAGCGCGTTCTGATTCTTTCTCTGCCTCTCGTGCGTCTCTCTCCGGGCATGGTGACTTTTGAGTCGACTCAAAAGTCACTAAGTCACCTCAAAAGTCTTTTGAGTCGACTCAAAAGTCACCAAGTCACCTCAATAGTCTTTTGAGTCAACTCAAAAGTCTCTCCGGGCATGGGATACAGATGGTGCTTCGACAGGTGACACACGAGAAGGTATACAATACATTGTTCCAGCTCTCATGTCCCTGGGTAAGAGACAGTTGGTGGGTAAGAGTAAGTAAATTATCAGTTGTTCTAGTTCTCATATCCTTGGTGAGTCACAGGTTACTTTCTAACCCAGAACCACTGTGCTGACTGACCCTGGTGCAACATGGCAGTGACGCTGATGTGATATTGTGTTTAGGGTTTAGGGTCACCGCGATGTTACATTGTTGTGACCGAGGCCTTTCATACCACAGTGGATAGAACTTCTGACCCTTTTTAATCTCATCAACCTCTTTTTATCATCTAATCATCCTTGACAGATTGCTCGCAAGCTGGGTCTGACAGGAGCTGCTGCATTGCCCAAACGAGCCATTCAGGTATGCCATGCATTTTCTGCTACAGCTGAGTGTTTCTGGGATTCTTTAACACCTTGGTATATTTCTTCCGTTCATACATGTGAATGATTCGATGCTCGTATGTTGCTTCTGATTGCATGTTTGTTTTTTTCCGTACACTGTCTGCTTGCAATCTCTTATTCTTCTTGTTCACATTCATGAATTGATTTATACCCACATTGTATACATTCCAGTTTGGTTCACGCATTGCAAAGGAGGCCAATAAGAGGGACTTTGGAAGCAATCGAGCTGCCAATCTGGTAGCAGTTGGTGAAAGATCCATTTTTGTTGACACCGAATCGAGTCCAACGCAATGACATGAAATTTGAATCTATCAACCGACTGTTGTTGGAACTTACGTTTGACATGAAATATGCATATATCAAGAGTCAATCAAACATCAGAAGCATTTGAAAAAGCCATGTTATGTTTTTTTGGATAGAGGAAGTTCAATCTCACTCATTCATGTTGATATTTCTGAGCATCTTGAGTGGATGACAAAGTTTACAGGTAAGTTTCTAGGAACGGATAATTGACACCAGGTCCCCAAAGTTCAGGCTTTCTATGCATACTAAAGGTGTAAGGCACCTTAAATGTAAGGTTTCCCCAAGGTTTCAGGCACCTTTCAGTCCCCAAGGTTTTAGGCTTTCTGAGTTGTAAGGTGTTTCTGTGCCTAGATGTATCTGGCACTGTGTAATTGCAAATTCTCAGCATGATTCTGTGCTGCAACTGATTAAAACCAGAATAGAAAATAATGAACCCTGTCCCAACTTGAAATGGTGCTCCAGAGAACGGGCCGATAGAGCACTGTTCCAAAGAAAACGAGCAGGGGCTTGAACACATGTGATTGGCTTTCGCCAATTTTGTGCTGTCTTGTTCCCGCCAAAATGTTTTTCCATCCGGATCTCCCTCGTCGCACATTTTCGTGCTACACCTGCACGACGGTTGCCTGGCGATGGTTTCCGTCGCCAGGCCAACGTTGGTTTCAAGTTGGAACTGGGTTTCATGACCACCTGCTCACCATCCCGAAGTCACTAGTTATATTCCTAGCATATTTTAGATGGCAACAATAGGTGTTTGTGGCCAAGGTAGGTATCGCGCTCGACCCTCCAGGAATGCGTAAGACTGTCGCGTAGCATAGTATCGTAAGAATTTCCCCTCCGCAGGCTTTCGTCACCTTTCCGCATGGGCTAGTTTCCTGTATCGCGCCCTCGCCATCGCGCTTTCGCCCGATGTCCGTTCCCCTCCCATCACCTTCGCGGGTCTCTCTCTCCCCCCCCGTCGCCTTCTATCTTCCCTCCCTCCCCGTCACCCTCGCTCTCCCCTCCCTTCCTGTCGACAAGTTTTCTCCCTGTCGCCTTTCCCATAGTTGTCCTCGTCGACGGTTGCTACATCAAAACGTAACATTCAAATTGACGTCAATCTTCTTGTTCATGTACCAAAACATTGATTATGTAGTTGCAGATGATTTGATGACGCTTGGGCAGAAAGATCTCAACGTTTCTTCGTTTATATCGTATGACTATAACGAACCACACCATGTGTGTTCAGATATTTACTCACACCAAACCAAAGTCTTCGAGGATTTGACGACACGTTTGCGACTTCGTTCAAGTCTAAATCCTTGGGTTTGCGACCCGTTTGCGAAATTCATCCCTTTCACCACAATTGCAAGAAAGGGATGAATTTCGCGCGAAATTTGACTTCTTGCTTATCATTGGATAATCCCGCTGCGTTTCGTCAGCCTGTCAGAGAATCCTGACAGTCAGAATCTGATCCGAACTCTGAATTTCGTGCGCCAAACCCTTCTCACAATGATGCGCGTCGAGCCCCACTACAAATTCTCTGGTTTCCATAGAACGTTCTGCACCGTTCTCAAATGTGTATTTCGTTCATGTTCGCACCAGAGAATCGCAGGAGGTAAAGCTGCTGAGTGTCAGAATCAGAAACAGGAATGGTGTGACTAGCAGGAACAACAGTACAAATGTGAAACCCTAAACTGGTGTACCCCCTATGGTGTGACCCACTACAGCCTAGAACCACACAAACATATAATGTTTGACACACCCCCATAGGCAAAGTGGGGGAGACCTAGGGGTCACAAGACCAGTCAAGGCAAAGCAAGGCAAACAAGCTCAGGGTGGATCTCGAGGATTCCACACAAATTCCGAGCACAAGTGAGCGATCACAAGACCAGTTCACATGCAGTTTTATAATAGAGCAAGAGGTACAATGATCACAACCTAGCAAGGGCAAACATGCAGGTATATATATAATGATCACAGTACAGGCAAAGTCAAGAAGTAAGCAAATGAGGAACAGTCGGCACAAGGCCTAGAAGAGTGCAAAAACGCTGATGGTCAACAGGCGGAAGCGCCTTGGTGAACACATCAGCAGTGTTGGCCTCACTGGCCACGTAACGCAGAACAAGCTGACCAGGCTGCTGTAGCTCTCGAGCTAGAAAGTAACGCAGAGCAATGTGCTTCATCCTGTGCTCCAGTCTGTGCTCCTAACACAAGGCTATGGTTGCCTTGTTGTCGACGTACAGCACTGGAGGAGAACGAGGCTGCTCTCCAAGGTCAGTCAGCAGGTAGGTGAGCCAGCGAAGCTCCTGGGCAGCCATGGCCGTGGCGTAGATCTCAGCCTCACAGCTGGAGCTCAGAACAGAAGAAGAACGAGTAGAACGCCAAGAGACAGAGCCAGAGCCAAGACTGAAGGTGTAACCCTGAGACGACCGCTGAGTAGCCTGGTCGTCTACCCAAGAAGCGTCTGAGTGCCCAATGAGAACAGGCCGGTCTCGCCCTCCAAGCACTAGCCCCATGCCCGACGTACTGCACAAGTAGCGCAACACCCTCTTAGCTGCATCCATGTGCTCCTTCCGGTGACGGCCGGGAGCGACATAGCGTGCTAAGATGCTGAGAGGGTATGCAAGGTCAGGTCGAGTGCAGGTCATCAGGTACATGAGGCAGCCCACAAGCTCTGGATACGGACCACTCGGCTCTACGGACTCATCCGAAGGCAGAGCTGAGAGCGAGTGTCCCGTAGGTAGAGGAGTGGACTGAGGCGAGGAGTACGTGAAGCCGAAGCGCTGAAGGACCTGCTGCACCATGTGTGACTGAGTCAAGGTGATGGTGCGCCGTGCTCTGTCCCGGGTGATCCGCAAGCCAAGATAGCTTGTCAGTTCACCCAGTTCTGTGCACGTGTGTCTCTTCTGCAGCTCGGACTTCACGTGAGCGAGACCAGCTGTGTCAGAAGTGGCAAAGACCAAGTCATCGACGTACACGAGGATGTAGAACGGCGGCAGTGCGGTGTCGGTGCGTAGAAACAGCGACGGGTCAGCAGTAGAAGGAGCGAACCCAAGAGCCGCAAGTGTAGTCCTCAGTGTGTCGTGCCACTCACGTGGCGCCTGGCGGAGACCGTAGACTGGCCGCCGGAGGCTCCATTGGGTACCAGGAGGGAACGACCCAGTGAAGCCAGGTGGGCGGCGCAGCCAGATCTCCTCGTGCAGGCTGCCCTGCAAGAAAGCTGTGCTG